GCGGCCGCAGGGTCAACTGCATCCCTGACCATCCTACTCACATTCATTTGAAATGTTAAAGTCAGATAGCAAATTAATCACACCCCACTGATTAAACTGATTTTTTTCAAGGCAAATAAAACTGAAATATTTATTGTTTGACAAGATTTACATCATAATATCCAACTACTCTCCTAATGACTCAGTAAAGACTGTACCAGTTGCGTACTCTTCACTGACTAAATCGAAAATGACAGTTCATGGTCTGAGTGACTGAAAATGATTGCATAAGAAGAGAAACAAGGAAACAAACAAATAAAGGCTGAGGAATGAGAAGAGAGATCATTGAGTTTGGAGGAACTATGCGATGGAGGAAATTATTCGAGTGGGCACAACTGTTCTCTAGGCCTTACTTCTACATAACTAACAAAATAATATAACTGTTGTGTGTCATTTTGCAGCAAACCCTCTTTAACTCCCAGAAGTCCCCCGAGGCCCCAGCTTAGGAACCACCTGTCTACAGCAGGAAGGACAGAGACAAGCTGAAATCAGCCGATGGCAATCCCAAATCAGCTCATCACAATGCACAAACGCGTCTGCCAACATGAGCAACCTGCAGTTTGAAATGAATGACAGACCTCAAAGGGACTTTTAGAAGAGGTGATATTCTCTAGATTACTTTGTGAGCAATGCTGCACCCACAACCGCAAATCAGATTGCACTGCTCAGAGATTTTCTTTCCCTCTTGTCCCATGAGTGCACACAACAGAGCTGATCCCCAAGGGTGCTTGAAGCACAGTTTTGACAGTGTTGTTGAGGATATATTGAGCATGGGTCGCCTAAAGCAGCATACTAACCTGAAGAAAGCATGCATGCTGACAAACTCACTCACCTCCCCGTAAGATTTAAGCACTAATTCATGAGGATCAGCTGATATAATGGCCTGATAACCACAAAGTGCATGAGGTTAATAGTCGGACTAAAAGGACGCAGTTTGCATGGTGATTGTTTACTGTAATACGTTGTTTTCAATATGCAAGGGAAAGCCAAGCAGAGCAGATGTCTCCCTGTAGTCCATCAAGCTCACCGGCTGTTTGTTAGTCCTGGAGGACTTGCTCGGGGTGGAACAAACACCTCCACTGGGGAGGATGATGAAGGATATCAGGTAGCTCACAATCTGTCATCATCTAACTCTAAAAGCTCAGCAGCAATGGAGGGGCAACAAAAATGGAGCTTTTAGCAGACACTTACTGCCAAATTCCAATTGAACCAGAAACCAAAAGGATATTTGAGGATCAGTAATGTTTGAACTTCCCCTCTATCTGCCTCTCTCCCACTCTCTCTCAAATTCATTCAAGGCATTTTCTCCCTCCGGGCTTTCCTCACATGGCCACTTCACGTGGGAGTGTATCAGAGTCTTTCTATGACTGCATTAACTTTGGCCTTCAGAAAGAGCTCTCTCTAGAAAAAAAAGGAAAAAAAGACAAAAAGGCTTCGCCTGCAGACCATTTAATCATAAGCTGTAGCCCACTTTGGTATGTGAAGTGCACTTGCCAATGAGATGCTGCACAGTGTGATGGAAAACCTCTCTGCTACGGCGATTCAGCATGCTGTTGATTCCTAATCAATCTTTATTTTCTGTAATTCAAAAGAACACGCGGCACTGACGTTGAACGAGTCAGATCTCCCCGAATATGCAGAATTTTCTGCAGCCCGATGTGGAGATTTTCTCAAACTTCTATTTTTGATTTATTAATAACGCTAGCTGGAATTAGATGAGCAATAACTGGCAGATCCTGCGCTAATAAGGAGAGCTTGCTCAGCACGAGGAATAACAAAGAACTATAAGCACGAGCCACGGGGCATGTCAACAGGGAGCAGAGGTGGGGGAAAAACAATCTGTCAGTGCGTCAGAGCATCCATCACTCCATCACCGCTGATTGCAGTGAGAGGCGTGATGGGGCACAGCCGGCTGACTTTCTCTCAAACAGCCGCTCCTGAACTTTATCATGCTGAGAACTCCAGCACAGATCGGCTATTTGCGAGGGATCCCACAGATTAATGAACGGATGGATGAATTTCCACATGTGAGAAATGAGATTCAACTGTTACATTTTATGTGACGCCCTGAAGGTCCCCCAAGGTCCCTCCATTCAGCAATCACTGCTCGAGATGTCCTTGCTCTGCCTGCTTTTTTTTTTTTTTTTTTTTTGTTAAAGAGGTGATTTAGCTCCTAAACTACCCATATAGGTCACACTGATGCTCTGATTGTACAATCTCTCTCTCCGTGGGGGAGATAAAGTGGGGTGGAAAAAAAAACTTTTATTCATTCCAGACTTGCAATCGATGGGACTTGTCTGTGAAGTGGATCAATAATGCCTCCCTTTGAAATCATCAATCACGTCAGTGGTGAATTTAAAAAGCGTAATTAGGAACAGCGTTCTTAAACATCCTGTATTGACGTCTTCTTTGGTATGGAGAAAGACACCATTCTGCATCATTAACTTTGTATTATTGCCTGATGGAGCCTGCTGCTGCTACTTCCCCACCTGCTGAACTCGGAGCGCTCTGTGTGATTGGGCTTTCAGACCAAATTCTCCCTTCTTTCACTTGCTGATGGGGGGAAGTGAAGCTTGCAGGCCTAAATTGGCTGAAGTATTGTAATAAGCCCGGTCCATACTGGAGCTCAGGCCGCGGCTTCACAAAGCTTTGTATCAGAAATGTTTACGGGACTGAGCACGTGTAATTTTCTCTGTAATAATCTTATCTGATTACTTTTGCGGAGGCTCCAACGTGACAAGACATTACATAGCCGTGAGCACACATTCTTAAACTTCCACAACTGGCCACGGTCTTCAGTGTTGTCGGTCTGTCTCTCTCTTGTAATAAAAAGGGTATCAATACTGCAGAGAGGGCAGGTGGGCGATTGTAATGGAGTAATTTATTTTAGTTGTCACAGAAAAATAAGTCTTTGATTAGGGAGCTATACACATCAGGCTGCACAAATAGAACCTTTCATCAAATCACAAAGCATGTGACACTATTGACCAGGAGTCCTCTATCTGGGTTTTTATCTTCCCCAACAAGATTCATAATACAATATGTGAGCAGCACAATGAGGCAAAATGCAAGCAGAATATAGCATAATATAGCTCATGCTCAAGGCAAGTCATGTGCCATTCTTCCAGATGAGTAGGAAATTTTGGTCAGAGATGCGCACAAACAAGCTTAGAGGTAAATGAGCAATATTCAATATTCAAGGTTAGAATACTGATTATTGAAGTTAAATGGGTTTTTTTAAAAACTCCGGCCAGGGTGGATATTTTTGAAAACTCCATTTTTGCATTTACGTGTGGATGAGAAAAACGGAGAAAACGCAGAAAATGCAGCGTCAAAGGTGTGCGCCTTTTTTGACGTCACACTGTGCCCCATGTTATTGCAATATATTCCTAACCGTGCAGAAATGTTGGCCAATCAGAAGTCTAGACGCCTTTGTGGGAAAAAGTAAACAAAGCTGGGGCATAGAAGCAGAACCAAGTCGTATGTGTGGAGGGACAGTAACTGTGTGTGTATATGTAAGCATTTAAACACTGCAGAGAGTACAATTAACAGTAATAGTATTGTAGAAATTTATTTCACCGAAACAATAACGTGGCGCACAGCGTGAAGTCAAAAAATGCGCACACCTTTGACCTGCGTTTTCTCGTTTTTCTTGTCCACACCTAAATGCAAAAACAGAGTTTTCAAAAATATCCACCTTGGCCGGAGTTTTTAAAAATCTCCGTTTTCAGTGACTAAAAACGCCGTTTACATGTGGAGGAAAGGTGCAAACGCATAGAAAAATCTGCGTTTTCAAAAATACCCATACCCGGCTACATCCACAGATTAGTTTGGACTTTACAGGGATTTTTGTTTGTTTTTGTTTTTTGTTTATGTCGTATTTTATTTTATTTAGCCATACACTATTCTGATTATTTAAGCTATTTTGACATGGGTTGTGTTTAAGTTTTCCAACTGCTGTAACAAAAGAATTTCCAATCTTCTGTGATGAATAAATTATAAATCCAACTCCGATGAATGCTGTCTCATGTCACTCTGTACTGTACCACTGTACATGGTTGAAATGACAATAAAAGCCACTTGACTTGACTTGAATGCCATAGCACATGATTTACACCATTTTCACACTCCTGAAACCATTCAGTAAACTCGTGTACCCTTTAGATGGGAGCACTGTCATATATGTAAGTCCATAATATGTTTAAAACCTTACCACAGCTGATAAAGCTGCTGTTATTTTGTCTACAAAGCTCGTTAACCAAATCTAATTGGACTGACGAAAAATAGACAGCTAAAGGCTAATATTTATTTACTGGCCTATATAGGAACTATTTTAATGTATTTCACGTATTTCACGTTCAAATATTCAGCCGTCCAATCGCGCTTCAAGTTCACTGTCTCTTTAAACCACTCGGGCGTCCTGCGCAGCGCACGGCGTAGTCTGGAACGGTCCCAGCTACAGCGCATGCGCCAGAAGTTGCTGCCGCAGACAGCAGCAACAGCAGTGATTCGGCAGCACAGGGCAACGGGAGAAAATCTGTCCGTTTTAAACCATGGCGACGTACTAAACGATGCCTTTCGCAGAGGTAAACGGAGAGTAAGTAGTTGTATCTTTATAACACGCCTGCTGTCCGACACCGTGTGACGTCCTCTGAGAGTGTGGCGTAAATATTAGGAAAGGTTGAGAAGGCAACAATGGGACTGTGTATGTTTCAGACTGGCTGGCTAGGTTAGCTAGCCAGGAGCCTGGGCAGTCAGCTGGCACGCTGACTGGTAACATACAGGTTTATAGCTACTGTATTGCTCTCCTGCATTGGCCCTGTGTCTACTGTAAAGCTCCTATCAAAGGCTTAAATCTCTCTGATACTCAACTATGTTTTAGTTAGAGGAAAAAGCCATAAATTCTCGATTAGAGCTGATGATAACTGTACAAACTGGGCTTGTGTTGTGTTCAGGCTGGTTAGCTAGTTTATATTGTGCAATGTGACAGCCACCAGTGCGGATTAAGCTGAGCTGTATTTGGCTGCTAAAGTATCATCGTCATCATCATCACACTCGTATGTTCACCGATTAAAATGTCATCAACAATGATGCAGGTAGTTTTGCGCCTCATCTCAAGCTAAATCGTAAGTGGTTCTCCAATAAGAAGCCAGTTGCGGATGAAAGTTACAAGTTCGGTTATTTTATACTGCTTGCTACCTTCAAAGTTGTCTACCCCTGGCTAGTGTCCGATATAATCATGAAAGCGTGCAACCATTTGCCAAGATTTAGAGCCTCGGCCGTCTCCACTCGACTGTACAGATGCTGTGCGCCCTCCTTGCTCTCCAGGCGCGTCTGCAAATGGCACCTCTTAAACATAACGCCACGGGGAAGTGTTTCCACCTGCAAAAGCAAGTGTTAAAGGTGATAACAAAAGGTTGACGTCACCGAGCTCATCCTGATCCTGCCGCACAACCTCGACCGCTGAGGAGGTGGAGAAGGAGGAGGAGGAGTGCAGGAGTAGTTTCAGAGGACGAGAAGAGCTTCTGTTTTTAATGCTAGGACGTCTAATGGTTCGTGTCTGGAAGGAAAAGGTCTATCTCTGATCAAATTTCGGGTATCCTAAGGGCGCACTTAACTAATGGGATCCTATCGACGTTTCTCCCCCTCCGAGCCCAATCTTTACACGGCGGAATGTTAATGTTGTCACAGCCTGTCCGTGTTGTCTTTGGCTGCTCTGCTTTTATTGCTGTAATCGGTCTGTAATGTCATGGAGCTTGTGACGGATTTGATTAAAAGGCAACTCTTCTGTTCTATGAGTGGCCGGACTATGGAAGTTATCTGCTTTGCGCTTCACATGGTAAGATGATAAAACTGTGAAATATCCAGCGATTTAAAAAAATAAATAAGTGTTTTGTCTACATTTGCATGCCCGTTTT